GGCTTGGGACTATAGTCTAGTGAGAAAACTCAGTCAAACTGGCATAATATAGTTCATAAAGATAATGTTTTATGTCCTAGTTTGGTGAGTAGTGTTCGAGGTCTTAAAAGCTTGTGAGCAGCCATCAAAGATATAACTATTGTCTCTAACCGTTTGGAATAAAAGAGAATGAAGGAAACCAAAGACTTAAAGAAAAAACTAGTCCACAGGACTAATAGGCCACACAAACCACAGCCTCATCTAGCTCGAAATCAGAACTTGATGGTGCCTAACTACCACGATTGACCTTTCTGAGCCGGGGCACAATAAAAGGTCCCAGACAGAAAATGAGAAAAATGTAGAACAAAACAAAACGCATTTAAAAAAAAAAAAAAAAAAAAAGCCAGACTACTGGGCTGATAGGGACTAAAGAAAGACCTACCTAAGATACCAGGAGCTCAGGTAGCATAGTGCCTAAGGCACTTGACTGCTAACCAGAAGGCTGGCGGTTCAAACCCACCAGCCACTCCTCAGAAAGAAGGTTGGGCAATCTACTTCCGTGGGGTCGCTATGTGTCGGGTCCAACTTGAAGGCACGTAACAACACCACCACCTAAGATACCCTCTGGACTAGGAACTTAAGTCACTCCTAATGGTAACCTTTCATCCAAATAACAGACTGACTTATAAAACAAGTAATTATCACCTGTGAGTACTGTACTCCCTTAAATAATCAACTATATGAGACCAAACAATCAACATTTATCCTAAAACAAAGATGAGAAGCTAAGGAGAGGGAAGTTAGAGTAATGGAAACAGAACAAACAAAATGGAAATGAGAATGTTGACACATTGTAGAAAATGTAACCAATGTAATGCAACAATCTGTACAAAAATTTAAAAATGGGAACCTAATTTGTTGTATAGTTTTACCTAAAACACAATTTAAAAAGAAAAGAAAAATACATATACATTAGTTATCTTGGGAAACCAATATTAAAAAAAAAAAAAGTCATTAACTATTGGAAAAAGTTTCCTCTCCGAAGCATATGGCCTCTGCAGACTCTGTGGTCAGAATGAGGCTTGTCAACATTGCTGCCATTTTCAGAGCTCTAGGTACTCCCTCAAACAAACTGCTACTAAATTTTTCCACCACGGAGCTCTGGTAGCATAGTGGCTAAAGCACTTGACTGCTAACCAGAAGCCTGGTGGTTCAAACCCACCAGCCACTTCTCGGAAGAAAGGTTGGGCAATCCTACTTCCATAGTGATACTGCCTCAGAAACCCAAGGAGGGGTCGCTATGAGTCGGGGCTGATTCGACGGCACATAATAACAACAACAACAACAGGTCCTCAAACAAACTGCTACTGAATTTTTCCACCACCAAATCATTATTATAAACACAATACAAGTCCTGCAGATTAATATCAGAACTGACGAGTCATGCTAAGGATTTAGAAAAGGAAAATATATCCTGTACACTATCATCCTAAATCATTCAACGCCAAGACAATATATTCAAGCCTATCCTATGATTCATCAGTTTCTCAGCCTGTGTCTAAACTCTTGTGTTGTGGTATTGTCATTCATCAGAAACTTGTCTCAGTTATATCTAATTTCTAAGTCAAACTACTGTATTTTTTTAAATCTTGCTTCCTAATCGTTCTTCCTTATTTGTAATTAAAATTGTTCTTTATTTAAAAGGACTAATTTCACTTTCTAAAATCTTCGAAAACCTAGAAATTATTCTAAACATTAGACCATTACTATCACTTTTAGGAAAAATAATGGCTTAAACTAAGGAAAGCCATTTCTTTTGGCTTCTAAGAATTAGGATTCTGGTTATCTACTATCTCAGCTTAGGAGCTCTGGTAGCATAGTGCCTAAAGCATCTGACTGCTCACCAGAAGGCTGGTGGTTCAAACCCACTAGCCACTTCTCAAAAGGAAGACTGGACGATCTACTTCCATAGTAACATCTCCTTGGAAACCTAAGAAGGGGTCACTATGAGTCGCATCCGACTCGATGGTAATGAGTTTTTTTTTTTTTTAATTGTCTCAGCTTAGGACTTGTTGGAAATACCAAATTTAAAAAGTCTTTATTCTCTATCTGATCACAAAATGTGATTCATACACTAAAAAATCTCACAGCAAGTATTTTCTTGCATATAAAAAACAGGGCACCTCTGTGCAAATCCTAAACTCAAACCCTTCAATTTTCAGTGAGTCCTAAGTCTTGCCCACTATAAATTTAGTGGGTGTGATATTCCAAGACTTAATGTCAAAGATAAATGTAGGTAAACAAAATGTTTATTAATACAATTCCATGCTCAGAAATGAAGTTATTACATTAACTGGGATCCAATTTTTGGGGACTGGGATGGGATGCTAGAAAGGAGCTCTGGTGGTGCAGTGGTTAAGGCATTTGGCTGCTAACCAAAAGGTCTGAGGTTTGAACTCACCAGCCACTTAGCAGAAGAAAGATGAGGTGGTATGTTTCCATAAAGATTTACAGTGCTGGACACCCTATGGGGTAGTTCTTCTCTGTCCTATAGGGTTACTATGAGTTGGAATCCACTTGATGGCAGTGGATTTGGTTTGGTTTTTTGGGGAATGTGAGAGAATCATTTAAATTTTTAAACAGTTCTACCTTGACTTAAGGAGCTCTGGTAGCATAGTGCCTAAGGCACTTGACTGCTCACCAGAAGGCTGGCAGTTCAAACCCACCAGCCACTCCTCGGAAGGAAGGTTGGGCAATCCTACTTCCGTAGTGATACTGCCTCGGAAACCCAAGGAGGGGTCGCTATGAGTCGGGGCCGACTCGACGGCAAAACAACAACAACAACCTTGACTTGTTAGTTTAGATATTTTACTGTTGAACTGACATTCTTAATACTTTGCTTAAATATTCTGTTTATCAAAAATTAAGTCTCACCCAATAAACAAAATATTTTAATTCTGCTAACAACCAAGTTAAAACTCAGTGTCAGTAATTTTTCTGACTACTTTCACTGCCTCTCCTGATAAAGCCAAAATCTCAAAGCTTTGATTCTGCCATCATTCCATCCTCCCTTCTCACTGCCACTCAGTCAATTCTGACTCATAGCAACCCCCACTGGGTTTCTAAGGCTGTAAATTCTCTAAAGAAGCAGACTGCCTCATCTTTCTTCCACAGAGCAGCTGGTGAGTTCAAACCACTGACATTCTGGTTAGCAGACAAATGCCTTAACCATTATACCACCAGAACCCCTTATCCTTCCCCTAGCACAGATTTTGGTTTTTCTTAGCCTCTCCTCTAAGGGAATGTTATGAATAAAGAATGCTATGAAGAACTTGCCCACAAAATATTTCAGCTCTCTAGAAAAGCAGGAAAAACCAATAATATAAACAAACATTGAAAGAGTCTGTACAGAACTTAAAGAAAAAGGAGAAGTTCAGCCTATATAACTAGCAGAGTAAACAGGTGAGTATTTCTGAAATGTTTACAGTTTGTTATTAAAACCAATTCATCTAACTCCTTTGAATTTGTGTTTTCCTGATTCCAAATCCATTTATCTTCTCCACTAAATCATACTCCTTACCTTACATTCCTTAAAAAAAAAAAAAAAAAAAAATTAAGGATATATGAAATCTAAGCTTTTTCTTGCCTACCATTTCCTGTTACAACCTTTATAGAAATATGTGTCTGAATAGGTATCACTGATAAACACATTTATACTATTATCTTCTAATTAATTCTACCTTCACTCCCATTCCCCCACAAGTGAGAAAATCCACCATATTAAGAAACATCGAGATGACAGTCCTATACACCTTGTATGTAACTATTTTAACATAAAAAAACAATGTTCTGCTTTATTCTGAAGTCATCATTATTTCATCTTCAGGATTACAAATTTCTTGAAGGCAGAAGTGATGATTCTGTGTCCCCTGTAGGAGCTTTGTAATGAGATCTAGTGTCTCTTGCTAATGCTGCCACACCTTGCTCTGTCACTTTTGTACTCCTTAGGAATCATCACTCATTTAGACAGAAAATAATTCACTTAAACATCTTTGTTCTACAGATCAGTTTTCCCTCATTAATCTTAACTTTGCAATGTTGCTTAATCAATAGAACTAAAGCACACTAGCTGGAAAAAGAAAATTAAATGTCATCCCCACATCTTATTAGTCTATGAAGTGCTAAGTTCTTGTAAAGAATCATCTGGAGAACATGAGGTAGGATTCAGTTACAGGCCTGCTCTCAAAAAGGATACTGAAAATGCATTGTCACAAGCAGGACATTCCTAGCAAAGATTTTGGTAACCCTGTCTCTAGGGTCTGTTAGTTCTGAGGAACAGTGTAGAAGCACACCTAACACCTACCTACTAGATGCTAGCAAAAGAGATTTTAAAGCATAAGTCGAAATCGACTGGTGGCAATTAACAACACGACCTGGACTTTACCTAGCTCCTGACCTTATCTCCTACCACTCTCAGTAGAGTATAAACGGGGGACAGGAAGGAACGGACAGAAGAGTAGCTGAAGGGTATGTAGAAAAGACATGCAGGGAGCTAAGGGGTTCCAACTTCATTCTAAAACAGGGGGGTCCTGTCAAGGGTCTTTAAACAGGGCAGTTGCAGACTCATGGCTGCATTCTGGGAGGCGCACTCTGAGTGCCAAATCGGAACTGCATAGGAAGCTAAGCCCATGAAAGCAGGGAGACTGGAGAGAAAACAAGATGCAGAGGATGGATAAGGCTGCCTGAGAGACGTGCCGGGGGAAAAGAAAGGACTTGTCAACGAATCCGAGTGAAGGCAATAAGGTTGAGGAACTCAGCTTAAAGTAGGTTAACCCCACAGAAACTGCCTTGAAGAGTCTGTGGGTCTGGGCGACAGGAGGATGTCGTGGCCTGAATGAAGAAGCAAAAAACAGCAAGAAAGGAGGTTTCCCGGGGAAAAGCCCCTCAAAGCTTCTCAGCGCCCCCACCAAACCGCCTCAGAAGCCTCCCTCCTCCCTGTGTTCCCTTGCTCGCCCGCTAACCGAATGAGTTGAGAAAGTCTGCGATTTTCTTGATGCTGCTGGTGATGACCTCAATGTACTCCCGGTTCGCCCAGTCCTGGTGAATCTCCCGCTGCACCGGATCCTCTTGTCCCGCCATGGCTGCCACCTAAGGAAGAGTTACTGCGCAGGCGCCCCGACCCTATAGGCCACCAGTGCGCCTGCGCCGCCAACCAACAGCCATTCCCTTGCCACCCACGAACTCCACGAGCATTGAGGTGCGCCTGCGTAATGTCAAATTCTCGCTGCGATTTCGCTCTTCTTTACACCCCTGCAAGCAGATGCCTCAACTCAGGCGGAGAATGGAGTGCGCATGCTTTAAGCACTAACTTCCGGCCCAAATCTAGGACCGTTATGGTCGTTAGGGGGCGCGAGTGCTCGCGTCGCTTCTTCCCTTAGCTTCTGTAAATTAAGATTGTGCAGCCTGTGTCAGCAATAAGATAGGTACAGCAGATTAAACTTCTTTAAATACAAGTTATTTTAAAAATGCTTTTCAATAACGCAACATGATGTTTCACCTTGCATTCATCAAAGGAGCAAATTTTTTTTTTTTTAACGCTATTACTCAGTGATGGAGAGACTATGGTGAAATTGGTAGACTCAACTGGCCACACTGTAAACTGGCATAATTCTTTCAGTAGGAATTTTTCAAGTTGTTAGCAAAGCTGTAAACAATAGTTCAATTTGACGTGATCATTAAGAAGCACTGAGGGGAAAATTAAAAAAAAAAAAACAAACGAAAAAACATTTAAAACAAAGGTACTCTTTGTAGCATAATCTACTTTAAAAAAAAAAAATAGGGGGTGCCAACCACTGAGGAATAGCTAGATAATGGTGTAACCACTTAACGCAATTTCATATGATAATTTAAATGTTAATTATGAAGACTGTCAACAATAAAACATAAATTGAAGGAAAAACAAAATACAAATATTTAATTGAAACTATGCAAAAATGTCCGCTTGAGAAAAAGGATATACTGAAAATGTCAATATCTCATTTGTTAAAGTGGAATTATAAGCAATTTTATTTGGTTTGGGGGAGTATTTATAATCTGGTTTCTGCAGTAAATGCTTTTTATAAAAATGAGATTCCTTCTAGAAGTAGCTGGGAAGAAATAATTTCTAACAGTTCTTTACTCTAGTAGAAGATTTTATAATCTATAAAGATGTGTACCATTTATTATCTCACTGGACCACCACAAACCATGTGGGAGAAAGTCAAGAAGAGGTTATATTACCACCCTCTTAACAGATGAGAAAATTGAAGTTCAAGGTGAAGTGGCCTTTTAAGTGATAGACTTTATCCAGCTGATTCCAGACTCCATCATCTTTTTACTTTGCCACTCTGAAAACAAGTCTGAGCGCTTCTACATATTCATAGAAATTATTTCTAAAATAAGTTGATATTGACAACTAGGGAGCCCTCAGAGTGCACAAAATCTCTCTGTTTGAGGCTCTACTTAATAAGTGATAATGTTTGATGTAGTTTTTTGCTCACATGTCACAGAGAAGTCAGGCAGACCTGCTTTCCAATCAAAGGCCAGTCATCTCACTTTCAAATCCCAAATCTATCAGAGATAAGTCATTTAATCCCCCTGAATTTTGGTGTAATACAATTATAGCAACATTGATGGGTTAGGATTGTTGGGAGGATTATGGAGAGAGGATAAGTAAAACACTAAACAGTGCCTGGCTGGTACTTCACAAAGTATGTTCTCAAGGTCATTTTACATTTATGCAGACAGCAGAAAATTAAATACTCCTATGTCTATCCAATAATGTTTAATCATACCATTTTACTTTGTAGACTTCACTAAAAAACAACAATAAAAATTTGTTTTGTTTACTTTTGTAAGTAACAGGTGTTACTTTTATTCAAGACGAAAATAACAAACTTACTGGAAAAAAATTTGTAATTCAAAAATCACTTGCAGCCCTTCCAAGTCTCATTCTCTTCCTTTTAATTGCTTTTCCTATTTGCATACACAGCACAGTGAGTGTCTGACTGTGGGCCTGCTCCATGAGTCTCTCAAGACTATCTTCCAGACTTTACTACCAGGCCCCTAGTCTTTCCCTCCAGCTTCACCCAAAGAGCCAAACAAAAGGTGACAGCTCTTATTTGTGCTATATTCTACCTCTTGCAAAGTGCAAGGACGATTTCTGCAGGTATGATGGAAGGGCACATGGACCATTTAGTTAATTACTCCTATAGACACTTAGAGTCGGGGCGACTCGACGGCACATAACAACAACAACAACAATAGACACTTAAGGGAGCTCTGGTAGCATAGTGGCTAAGACACTTGCCTGCTAACCAGATGGCTGGCGGTTCAAACCCACCAGCCACCCCTCGGAAGGAAGGTTGGGCAATCCTACTTCCGTAGTGATACTGCCTCGGAAACCCAAGGAGGGGTCGCTATGAGTCGGGTTTGACTCGACGGCACATAACAACAACAACAACATAGACACTTAAAAGCACATGACAAGCACTGTGGTAGCCAGGTACTGGGATTAGAGGGTGAACTGGATAGACCTCCTCCTTTCCTCTGCAGTCCACTAAATTTTTTGACATGAGGCTTACAAAGTTGTCAAAACATTCGTTAAGGTGGTGTCAGTTGTTCAGCATTACAAGGATGGGACACGACTGTACTTCTTGAGATTTAACCTTCAGTCAGAAAATCAAGATGTTTCTTGCTCTTGACAGCCTGAGTGTTTATGAATTATGCTTCCTTGCAATGGGATCATGCCAATACAGCAACATAGGCCTTCAAAGAAGCCTGAACACCCGCTGAGCTGGGAGAATGAGCAGAGACTTTTATCAACTACAGGACCTTTATGTAAGTTACTGACCAGTTTCTGAAGTGGGCGTGTCTGTCCTCTGTTCAGGTGTTGGAACGGATGCTGAGGTTGAAACTAGATAAGACACACAAGTATGTCAAAGAGAGAGGAGGGAGAAGAGAGTCCCGAGAATGGGGACGATGAGATTCGAACCTGCGCTCTTGAAGACAGAGTCCTGGAACCGGCTTTTTAGGGAGTTCAGCCTCAACGTCCGCCAGCAGGGACGCCTCGAGGCCCCCGCTCCCCTACGGCTCGGGCTTCTCGGATCGTGGGTCACAAAGGCGGTTGCCAGGCGCCCGGTGGAGAAAAGATGCGGCTCTTGAGAACTGAGGCTGCAGCTCTGGAGCGTGCGGTCCGCGGAGTTCAGCAGGTGAGCCCCCGGCCCGGATGGTGGGACCGGGCTCAGGCTCCCACTGTCATCTCCGCCTCCGCCAGAGACCTCTGGCCGCCGTTCTGGGATAGCGACTAAGGGAGGCAAGCCCTTTCTTCTGGCTGGGAGGGGGAGCTTCCCAACTCCGGGCAGCTCCAGCACCTCGGTCGCAGTTCACGAAGACCTCAGCTGCACTTGGGTTACCTTCCTCTTTCCCAGGTGGGAAAATCCCAGAGTTTCCTTGGAACTAGAGGAGGGTATGAGGGGAAAAGCCTGATGGCGGGTGGACCAGGCGTTCCCTACCTGGGAGCTACTAGAGCAGCTTGAACAAACTCACTAAGTTCAACCCTTCAGGGAATGGATGACAGCAACTTCCAGGCGGTGGTGGTGGTGGTGGTGCTGCACCAGCTTTATAAATCTTGTGTAGAGTGGTGGAAAGATTTGTGGAGTCAGGAGCCCTCTCATCCCTTGTTGGTTCTGCTAAACATACAAGGCTTGACCTTTGACAAAACATTTCACCTGTTCTATTTTTTCATTGGGAGCTCTGGTAGTGTAGTGCCTAAGGCACCTGACTGCTAACCAGAAGGCTGGCGGTTCAAACCCACCAGCCACTCCTCAGAAGGAAGGCTGGGCAATCTACTTCCATAGTGATACTGACTCGGAAACCCAAGGAGGGGTTGCTATGAGTTGGGTATGACATGACGGCACATAACAACTTTTTCTCATTAGCAATGAGTAAGGAAAAGATCTTGGGATTATCTTTATCTCAAATGCCCAGAGGAGTTAACATCCTCCTCACCTCATGGCAGTGTACCAGAGTAGTGTGATCTTGGATATATGCTCTTAGGGTCATGTCAAGAATTAGACGACTTTTCCTAGGCTGTCCCTTGGGTCTCAGTGAGGCAGCCCAGTTATTTGAACACTTAGTATATGCAAAGGGCCTGTGTAGATTACGAGAATCCCACCCCAAAAAACCAAACCCACTGTGATTAATTCCAACTCATTGCGAACCCCACTGCGTTTCTGAGGCTATAAATCTTTATGGAAGTCAATTGCCCCATCTTTCTTTCATGGAGCAGCTGGTGGGTTTGAACTGCTGACCTTCTGGTTAGTAGCCAAATGCCTATTCACTATGCCACCAGAGCTCCTTAAGAACCATAGCAGTTGGAGGAAATCAAGCAACCTCCTTTATACTAACCACTGTAGGGGCAGGTCTTCTGGTTTGAAATGTCACCA